CAAAAGAAAAAAGTGACAGATCACACCTTTCCTTATGACATCATCTATTGCTGCAATGCTACCACAATTCACCACCTTTGTTCCAGCTTACTGCTCAGCTAAGAAGAGCGAGAACTACCATGACCACCAATGACTGTTTTTGAGTCTTAATGAACTGGAAAATTTCAAAGATTTTTATTAATAAAAACTGTGCAAGATTCCCATATTAGGTAACAGGCCACAGCTACTTTCACTGTGCTCCTCCACAGCACTTCTCTCATGCTTAGCTGAGCAACTCCACAAGAAAAAAAATACATATACATTCCCCACTAAGGAGGGGAAAAGGACTGGGGATGGGGATAGGGAAGAAAGATAGGAAAAGCCAGGAAAATTGTCCATTCCAGTCCTAGCCCCATGTTCCATGTGCTCACTTTGGCTTCCCCTTTATTAGAAAGTTCTTGCAAATATTATTTTTCCATGACCTGTTGCTTAAGGCAGGTGATTGCTTAAGACAGTTTCACATTTCTTTCCTAAATGAACAAGTAATCGTTCTCTTTAGTCACAGGTTTCATGGAGAGTTGATGGCGTGTGTAATTTTCCTGGTGTGTCACATTAAGAACACTGAATTTTTGACATGACTACTTGACTAAAATGCTTTTGCGCATCACTCACATATCTTAATAAATATATCCAATTAGCTATTGTTAGGTGAACCGGGAGTGAAAGACAATGAATACAAAGGTCTCCTCCTGGTCAGAGCACTACAAATCACAATCAGAATAAAGGAAAGAAACTGGGTTTCCGTATCCACCTTTCTTTCCCCTGCTGTGTTGCCTGAAGAACAACATGCCTTTCATTGCATTATTTCCATGTAAACCCAATTAATTTATTTGCATTCCAGACATCTGTTAGGAAGTTGTAGGTCAAGGAGCATGATTAAGCAAAAATATTGCACCCAGTATTTTGAGGTAACCCTCTTTTTACTGGACTTCAGTCTCACAAGTCTTTCACTAGAAATAGTAATTTTTCTTTAAATGCAATCACTACCCAGATTCAAACAAGACCTCAATCTTATTTTGAACATGCCAAATCAGCTGCATATTTGGGAGGCTGTCTCTAATTTTAAGGTAAATCCAAATTCCCTCTGATCCTTAGCAAGCATTTATCTCTTGATAGCCACGTCTCCTAAACTGCCTCACAGCTAAAGTGAGGAGCTTTCAGGCTGTGCAAGAAAAATGAGAGCAAGTACATTTTTGTGCTGACAAACAGAACCAGAAAAGTTTAAGTAAGCAGTCAATGGTTAATTCATTCTTTCAGATGAGTCTCAGCAAGTCAAGAGTATTTACTCAGCTGTTGAACTATGCCCAAATATTTCTTCAGTATACTGTAATGCTACAATATTTCTCATGGGTGTGTATATATACCTTTTTAATGGATTCAAACAAGTTTTAAGTATACAAAATAAATGGAAAGATTAATCCCTGGGCACCTTTGATTCTGTATTTCTTCCTATGTTTGATTTTCTTTTTTATATATGCAGAATACAGACAAATCACGTATTTACAAATGTAACATGTCCTCATGGGAATAATCAGGTTGTCACACTGCACCTCTCTGGCACTTCTAATATCAGACCAGTGCTACAACAAGACTTTAATATCCATTTACAGGTCTGGTTTTAATTTTCTGAAAGGACAACACATCTATTCGTTCAGGGTAACATGCACTCACACAATTAGTGTGAAACAGTATGCAGACTTCATCTGATCTTATGCTGCAGGGAGTTGGTATGTATGGAGGTAGGTAGCAGTCATAAGAGGCTTCATTATCAGGTGTCAAAAAAATCCCATTTTATGCACTGAAATTTTCATTAAGGTATCTTTGGACCACTTATTGAAAACATAATTTATTGTTTAATACCAGATTAACAAACCGAAACAAGCTGTTTCACACAGCAACTTCAAATTTGCTCCTCAATGAAGCTTTACAGCCCAAATAATTTTGAATGTCCTGTCACGCAGCAGCAGAACTGGTTTCATTGCGTTGTACCCTGTAATTCTGCAGCCGCAACAGGTCTTGCTTAAATATGGTTACAGAACACACCATACTTCCAAATAATTTCAAACTCACTAGTCCCATTTCCACCACCTTGTTCTCCCTAATTCCATCAGCTCTCAGTGTTATTTTGAATTTCAAGACATCCTGTTACATAAATGGTACAGAAATGGTCACTTTCAGTGTACTGTACACGGGCAACTGAAACATTTGAAAACTGTATCACAGCTATAACATTTCTTGACTTAAATTTCCTGCTTACCATTTCCTACTCCAAGACAACCAAAACAATGCTTTTCCACACCTTAAAGATGAAATACATTTTTTAAAATAAGCTGTTTGAGATCACAAATAATTATGAAAACATATGGAGTTAACTGGAACTGATATACTTAAAAAAAACCCCACCACCAAACCATCAGTGTGATGGCCAAAGTGCACAATCTCCAAGGGTTTAGGCACCTTTCTTTTGCATTAGTTGATACCATCAACTACAATAAAAAAAATTATATCTTGCTAGCACAATCAATGCAAATTAATTTGATGCTTCTTAGACTGCACTGACCAAAGACAGGATTAAGACTACATGACTTTAGCAACTGCAGGCTCACTTACTGCAAGGGCTCTGCAAAGAACACATCTGCCAAACCACACATGTGAAAGTTAGTGCAAACTTCTATTAAGCTATGAGACAGAAAACTTCAGTCTCTGTTCCACAGCAATGAAGTCTCTCTTTTGAATGTCAAGTCAACAATAAAAGGTAAAAAACACTCAACTGTCAAGTAAGGCCAGTAATTGCAGAGGAAATCAATTTTTAGTAATGGAGGACATTTTAAAATGTATTCATTGAAAATGTATATAAACTGGATATGTACAGGTATATTTAGCTACTCATTTGTGACCTCAAATAGCTTTTACATACATTGTTAAATTCTCTTTTAAAATAAAGACGTGACATACTGTTCATACAGTTCTATCTGAAGTGCAAAGACTTAGCTCTTGCTAGTTTTATACTATGTTTCTCTAGTTGGACTATAACAAAGTAAGAAAAGACTCAAGACACCATGCTTCAATTTCTAGGAAAACACTCACTCTTAAGCAGATCCTTAGAAGAGTAACTAAAATGTAAAAAAATACAACTCCTAATCATCATTTTCCTCATCATCAAATGAGAGAAGGCTGCTATTTTTTATTTGCTTAGCTGTACTCTGAGGAGTAGTTGCTTCTCTCTTCATTTTCTTTGCCTCTTTCATCTTCTTACTTGAACTTACATTGAAGTCCAAACACTTCTCTGATGAACGTTTGGCTGGTTTCCTGAACATAATTTTTCCATCAGCAGGTTCTGGTTCACCATCTATAACAAAGACAGTAAAATCAGAACTCATCCACACACATTCACACACACATACAGATCTTCACTATTATCTTCTCGTTTTCCCCCAGAACCAAGATCATCAAGACCTCTGCTAGAATACAACAATCGTGAAAACGTATCTTTTGGCTGCCAGGTCTGTATCAATGAATGTCCTTCATGCACACACATCTGCTCCATGGCAATCAGCCCTTGAAGACAGTTCTCCTGCAATTCCTCTTAGAAATAGGTTCTCACTAATCAGAGCTTTAATTTAGAAGAGACTAAGCAGTAGAGCTTTTACCACACAATCCAGCCGCATCCAATTATCAAAATGGAGAGGACAACTTTATAGGATCCTCTAATTCCACTTCACTATTTGTAAAATCCATGACAACAAATGCACTTATTTCAGAATTATGCTAGCTCTTTAAAGAACAAAATGGCACGCATACAAGACAAAGCTTTTCTGTTTTTATTTTTTTTCCTAATAGACCCTGTCCTGCTGAGACAGCTAAAAAGATTATATGGTCATAAACCTGCCTTTTATTATCATATAGGATGAAAGTCTTAGTGTTTCTTTGTATCTGCAAAATCAACAAACTATTCCAACTGGTTAATTCTGCCCCTCTGTATGTACTACAGCAAATAATTTTAAAACCAAGAGAAGTCCCTTCCAGAATTATCAGGCCAAGGAGGGAAGCTACTGCACAAGTAACAGCATCAAGGCAATATTTCTAGGGAAAAAAACTGTCATTGTAAAGTCATGAATCAGGCACAAAGGCTCACGCTGCAGTAGTCTGCAATTTTTATAATGTATATGCGACAGAATGCTATAGAACCACAGGTTCTGTACAAGATATTTTTCCTAAAGTACTTTCATGAAATTCATTATTCAACAGAAATTTCTTAACAAAATGCATGTGTTTGACAAGATTATGTGCTATTTAATTATAAGCAATAAATATCTTTTGTCTTTAGCACGAATTCTTTCCGCAACTCATAGGCATTATGGCAGAAGACTGGCTGAAACACTCTTCAGTGTATACTCCAAACACCACAACGATTAAATCTGGTGTCTTAAGGGTTGTGTGGTACAAATTAAGACCATCAACCTCATCAGGAAACTTTACTTATAATTCCTTAAGTTTCACAGACCCTTTTTTAAGAAGAAACCTAGCTTGAAAAACTAAGCACCAATTCTGTCAATGACTTCTATAGAACGCACACTTCTGCAGTAGTTTATGAGCGAATACTACTATGCAGAAAATAACTAACCAGGTTTTGGGAAAATATTTCAGTACTGGTGCATTAGAGAAGCATTACAGTTACAAGGGATTACCAGCAATAATAAACTGTAGATATGACAAGCATATTTGCCAATGGATCCATTGTGAATTCTGCATGGAAAGCTTAGGTGTTTAGATGCTATACATGGGATACAGAAGTTTAGGAAGTACCCATGCTAAATTCTGGCAAAGAAAAATAACTATTTCTGAAAACATATCACACCCAACCAATCAAAATGCGCTATATACCATTTTTCTCAGAAGTTGGATTAAAAATTCAAAATATTTTTCCACATAATTGCCTCTGGTTTTGGGCTCTAAAGTTAAATATAAAATAATTCCCCTTACTATTGTTGGTTAATTACAATGTTCGTTTGGAAACCCAGATCTTCTAATTTAAAGATCTAAGGCACACGATATAAACCAAATTCTGCAAAAAAAAATAATGCATCTATAAGAAAAATTTCACTTAAAAGAAGACCCAACTGTCTATATACTTGAGCCAGCCAGCACACAGACTGTACACAGTACCAGTACAGCTGTGGAAATAGAACTTCAAAGTAACCAGTTACCATATAAACATGAGAAGCATCAAAAAATCTCATTGGACACTGTTTTAAAGAGCAGTTATTACATTTTCTTCCGACAGCAAATTGCAAAACCAAACTCCACAAAATAAATCAGATAAACAACTATGTACTCACACTCCATGTAAAAATGGAAGTAAAAAATTTCAACTTTATGCCCAGGTCTTCTGCTACCCACGCTGTGAACTGCACAAAATCATTTCATCTTGTCTACCAGATGGAAAAACTGGTAGGTATCTTTGCAATATGAATTTAAACTCTTTATAAGCAAAGTGCATAAACGGAGCAAAGCTGAAAAACTCCACCAAAATGACAACTAGCTTAGCTCTGACCTCGAGGGCCTCTATACTATTTGCGGATCATTCTGCATCGAAGGAAAATATTTTAGCTCTTGGCCTGGTCAAACACTGTCAAAATTTCATTATACGCTCAAGGACAGTCCTTTTGGCAGGAATCCCAGGCCAACTTCAGAGTGCTATGATGTGTTGGCAATGCTTGACAAAGAATGAAGCACATGAAGAAATGCAGCAGGCCTAGCCTTACCTAAGCAACTTGTGGAAAGAGGGAGGACAGACTATGCTTTTTGGAAACAATTTTATGTAGCAGCTCAAGAAATTTGTGTTGATTCGTTAAGATTGTCTTTTCCAGCTGGTAAAAGCTTCACCTTTCTAATTTTACCAGACTTTTATGTGTCAGCTCTCTTTTTTGTTTTTATCAATGACCTCCAAAAACTGGCTTGTATTAAGCAATGCAAAGAAGAGACTGAAGAAACAATCTCAGTGTTGGTAGTTTTTAAAACAGAGCCCTGATAAAAGACAAATTATACTATTACAAGTTATGGAAAGCAGGATACAACCAATATAAAAGCATTACAGGAGAAATACTAAAATCCACTTCTGATAAGAGAGTCAAAAAAATAGCAATTGAAATTCCGACTGTTCTTACTCATTGCTGCTTTTACCTGGATGACAAACCTTTACATTGGTCAACTAAGAGGGGCACAATCAGACCTTGAGCTGAAAACTCACTTTACAAGTGACATCAATTTAAGAAGCCACACATTCAGAAATTTTTTTTCTTCTCTTTTAATTGCAAGTTATATATTACAAGAAAAGTAGAACTGAAGGTCTGGAAAAGAAACACTGATCTTCAGTTTACTGTATCTTTTATTTAGTAGTCATTTGTGTAGTCAGCAGCGCCATTTTTCAGCAGTTTCCGTCCACATGGGTCAATGCGGCAACAACGGGAAGCACAAACACCACTAAATTGGCAGGAACAACAGCAGGAGCAGGGCAAACAGTATTTCAAGATATAGGTCTATTCAATGATAAAGGTTGGGAAAAAATTATGATAACCTGGAAAATTTCTTAAAGATTTCCAAGGTTAGTAGTTCAGGTCAGACGTTTCAGATGCTCCTTCTAGTGCTTTCTGACCACCCATCTCTATGCATGCCTTTGGAAGCATTTAATACAGGGATTCTGCACACTGGTATCATGAAGATAAGAAGGCCAGTCTTCCTCAGATATTCAGTCTCATATGGGGATACTTGGGAAATTTCTTGATATTTAGATACTGTAAAATTAGCTTTGATTTAGATTTCTGCTGTTCACATGATGAACAACAGCATGAACTCTGTGATATATAACAGCTGCTTAGTTAAGGAAAGAGCTCTGTTACCCAAGACAGCATTGACTCTTCTCTCCTCTCTCCTGACCTCCCCCAACCCCAGCATATAGAATGAGACAAGAAGACTTAGAAGACTTTGAACGAGTAAGGACACCTTCTGCCAAATTTGGTCATCTGCATGTATCAGAGTTTCCCAAAGGCCAGATGAACTAGAAAAGCAGTAGAAAAATCAATTCCATAGACGATAATGAATGCTGGGATAAAGTATTTGCCATCTTTTTCGCACAAATTTAATTTCTCATAAGACCATTTTTCTTTGTCTCTGAACCAAGAGTAACGGTTTATAAAATGCTGCATAACAATATTAAAATGACTGTTGATAAACAAATGACTATTTTTATAAAATGCCTCTAAGTCAGTCCTCCAACTGGAGGGGCGTTTTCTCATATAGGAAAGGTTCAATCCTAAATAAAAAAAAGTTTCCTGTGACTACACTTGCAAAAGCCAATGTACAAGCTTCACTAAATTTTGTTCTGCCTTAGAAGGCAACTAAGTGATTACCTAGGATCTTCCAAAGTGCCTCCGCATTGATGTGAACATGGTGGAAAGGAAGATTATGAGTTGGGAAATTTACTTCCCTGCTACCTTTTCAGCTTCAGGTAATTTCACTAATGATCTGATTTGGGGCTACACAATGGTCTAATACCTGTAAATTAATTTCACTTTCAACTCTGGGATAAAAATCAAAGCAAGAAGAAATGTAATCAAATGATGGAGCATCAAATTTTCTTTATGCTTCCCATTTTCAGAACTGACAATTATCCAAAAAAAAAAGAAAATAAATTAACACGTTAGTCAAAACTCTCTTTATTAAACTGGAAGTAACCAGCTGTCTAAATACTTGTGTCTGACTAGAAATGAGAATTTTAATCTAGAGGTCAGACTGACGGTGCAAAGATGGACAAAGACTCAAAGAAGCCTTCAGCAAGCCTTCATTGAAAATTTCACATCAAGTCCTCTCCATAGCAGAGGAACATAGTAGCACTTACCCTGCTTATTCCCATAAGCAAAAAAAAAAAAAAAAAGAAAAAGGAGGCCAAGACCTCACATTAACAGCAAAGGCAGATGAACAAATAGTAACACAATAATGTAGAAGAGAGGGCAGCAGTCCCCAGAGTATAGTGATTCAACACTTCTGCTACTGTGGATTTTTTTCCTACAAATCCAAGTTATTACTCAAGGGCTGAAGGGGTAATAAGCAGAGGTGCTAAAGTCCTACAGGGACTCAATACTACTATCCTCACTACATTCAATTGTGTCTTAGGAACGTCTTTTTCCACCAAAGAAGTTCAGTTACTCTATTCAAATACACTTCCATTTCATACTGTGTATTCAGCTTGGTAGCTCTTTTGCACTTTTTTCACAGCATGGACTCCACCTCAATAGATTCTCACGGACAGCTACTCCTTTATGCCCAGCCTTACAAAATCATTTTTCCTCCTACTGTGATCATTCAAAATTCAAGTTGCTTATGTGAAAAGGAAACCTATGCTCAGAAAGAATCATGCCATTTCTTTCCAATAGGTTGAAATTTCTCCCAATACCAGGAGGGTGATCCCACTTTTGAAAAGAAATCATGTGACAACTTTACAAACTGCAACACCAGTACAAACTGCTTACACTTCAGTAACAAGAGACGGGGAAGTGAGCAGGAAGCTGAACACATTTTCTCAGAGGAGTCCAAATTATGTAAACACAGCTCTCGGTCTACTACCTGGTTACACCTAACGCATATGTATCTACCTGCAGAAACAAATCAGATGTACTTTTAGTTTCGAGCTAACCTACATTACAAAAACGAAGAATTTTTATCAACCTGCTTCTCAAAAATGTAAGATTCTCGATGTATTTTCTCCCACTACTGTTACTTGACTTCTACATTTCTACAATTTAAATTTTAACACATACTTCTACATAGGGACAGCACAAACCTGAATTTTCCAATCCAAACAGCAGAAAAAGACAGAAGCTAAGGATGTCATATTGATAGTCACGTGCTAGCCTCTTAATCTGCTCTAAACTCAATTTACAGCCTTTGTAAATAGCCACAATGGCTAACAGAGAAAAAGTCCCACAGCTTCTATGAATCACCTTTCTATTTTATAGTTGTGAGGTTCCAGTTTTTCTTAATTATTAGTACTATCTGTAGTGGAAATGTCTTATCGACCTTTAATCTGTCAAGTTTTCTGTCAGCAAAAAGTAAAAATAAAGCTACATTGTCATGACGGAAGGTTTTGGACTCTCAAAGCATTTACATCAACCATATCTGAATGATGAATACTGACAGAAGTTCTTAACATAACTGTATTCAACTGTTTCACCTCTTTATTGTCTAACTGCAGCAACCTCTCCCACACCACTTCCATCTTTTCATTCTTGAAAAGCCTGTTAAATAACTTAAAGCTTTCTAATTCTTTGTAGCAAACCCCCATTTTTTCTATACCTTGCTGTTTGCTGGCACTACTGTATCATCTGTTATTTTCAACTATTCCATTTAGTTTTGCTTAATATATTTGCAAGTCACAGCATATACTGGGCATGATTTTAAGCAAGTAATAACATAGACCAGTCAGTTATGTGAACACGTTACTGAGCTTACACACCTGCCATTCTTTCTACTGAAGCACTAACCTGAGTTTCCTCCTTCTGCCCATACACTCCCTTTTATGAACTCAAACAATTACCTTTAAGACATCCACTCCACCATCAAATTTGGCTCAACTAACTAATGAGTTCAAAAATTTCCACAGGTGATGTGAAAAGACTGTGTACTAGGACAACGGCACACCATAACAAAACAAAAAAGGAAAAAAAAAAGATTTAAGGTGGTATTTAGAGGTAGGATGATGCATTATCAAGAAGCACACAACTGCAACACTATAAAAAGCCAGACAGCATGGATATGTACTCAATGACTTCAGATTATGAATCACAAGTCCAAATTATTTAGCTGAAAAATTCAAAACAACTAATCAAAAATAGTATTAAACAGTAGAAAACTGAGCAAATATCAAGCTCCCTTTTATAAGTTCTCTCTCTTTGGCTATACAAACCAAGAAATTAGTTTGAAATTCACCTGATTCATTTGACTTTAAAGCCTCTTTGATTTGCTGTTTAATTTTCATTGCTTCTTCGGCAGTCAAGTCCCCTTTTTTCAGTGTTACCACTTGAGGCTGTTCATCTTCGTTGTCACTGCCATTCTCACTATCACCATCTGCAAGTGGAAGCTGCTCTCTCTAGACAGGAGAAAAATAAAAGCAATTCTGATCACCACATTAAATCACAATAGCTAAGGGTGGGCTAGAACACTTTGGTTTCACTTTTGCAGTAAGGTTAGTGAGGAGACCTGGCACAGCTGTCAGCACCAGGCCCTCCCAGCACACTTTGTCCAAATGGCTGTCCAGTTCCATCACCCAAGCGTCACCTAGAAAAAATCAGTATGGGCTCTTTCAATTAAAGACCAAACCAGCAGGAACTTGGAAGGTAAGAAACTCATTCCTTTTTCTTCGTTATCTTTATTATACAAGCACTGCCTGCAATGCAACACAAAGAAAATCTTAAATGTGTGGGCCCAAATTTGAATCTTCTGTGCTGTACTCAAAACAGTGCAAAGGGAAAGGGAATCCATGGTGGCTTTAAAGCTGCCTGACCAAATCTTTGTAAGCATTATTGACACAAGGAAGACTACGTCTTACTTCTACTCTCTCAAACTTGTGCTCTGAGGCAGAATAATTTGGAATAAAATTTTACATAAATAAACTTGCCAGCACGGAAACCTCAGTGTAACAACATAAAGTTTGGCAGTATTATAGGAACTGAAAACGTCATCTATAAGGAAAAGTATAGATAGTATTACCATAATCTACTGAAGTTACCAAGAGATACACAAAATGCAATCTGTCTCAGGAAGTGAAAGTTCATACTAAATTTACTAAAGGCATACTTTTATCTCAAATTCCAGCACATCTCAAGTAACGATGGGCCTCCTTCTTAAGGCAGCCTGTAAAACCTCATAGCTGGCACGAAACATGCATAATAGCACACTGGAAAGAGAAAAAAAGAATGTCCTCAGAAAAGGCCACCTTTTAAAAAGCTAGCTCAAACCCTAAGGCCCCTGCCCTGCCTTCCTAGCCATCACACCAGTTTGTGTCCACGGACCTACATTAAGATAGCGTTAATCCCTTTCCAACATATTTTTTTACTATACATTTAAAACATTTTTTTAGTTTTTTTCCTGCCTGGGCTTTGTAAGGCTGGTTAAACTTGGAACGTCATTGCTGTTGCCCCCACAGACCACTCGGGCACCGACAGGTCGGCAGTGGCTGCTCTGCGAAGGGCACCGTGATCACGACGGCGGCCAGTATTAAAAACAGCAACAGCGAGGGGCACCGGATTATCTTTGTTGTTGTTTTGAATCTCCAACACAGAAGCAAAACCAGGTGACAAAAACAATTTCAATTAATTTTAAGCGGGTAACCACTGTTACCCCTTGCCCTGCAGGGGCAAAGCCTAAAGTGCTGCTTCCCCGCCGCCTGCGACGGGGCCTTTCCCCCACATTCGCTACAGACCCCGGGGGGGGCATCGTGGCAGAGGAAGCTCCGTGGAGAGGGCGCTGCCCCTTCCCACCCCCGGCGAGGGGCCGGCCGCGGCGATGGGAAGGGAAGCAGG